TATTTGTCAAACAATTTCTCCAACTTCATGCACCATCAACATCACATACAGCATTTTTCTTTTTCTCCTTTATCTTAACTGCAATGCAAAGAAAACACAACTCTCGCGACTCACTGGCCGGTACTGATCCGTGGCCCGAGGGTTGGGGGACGCCGTTGTAAACTCATGTTTTATTCACAATATGTGATATTTGCTGCTTTTTAAAATTTCCAGCCTTTTACTGGCCCATCTAAATGTTTTTGAGACGTGTTGCTTCCATCACATTCAATCCTGCCATCGTGTCATTATCCCATGTAGGGTTTGATCTGATCACTCAGTTCCAGCTGGATGTTATTCCCCTGAAAGGTGTGAGGAAAGTGGATGGCTCCACAAACCTCCAGGTGGCCTACCGCCTCGACAAAGAGGCCAACTTCCAAATTCCAACTATGTAAGTAAAGCAGGGGCATCTTTAAAGAAGCTGATTTTTTTTAAATGTCAAACAGCACCAGCCCTCATGCAGGTGTTGCATTATTACAGGTCTGGCACAGATGTTGCTGCTCGGCGAGCGGCGTATAATTGTTTGAGGAAAAAACATGTCAGGACGTATTTGGCATCTCTTAGAAACACAAAGAGTCAGAGTATTTTTGGATGTGTTTGAGTGAGTGCAGAGAAATAGCAACTAAGACCCTGATTGAAGCTGTTTTGTCAGGATAAGCGAAAAAAAACATAATTCACCACTTCTTCTTCTTTTTTTTCTTTTCTTTTCTTTTTTTTTTAGCTAACTTTAAGTTGTACTTACCTTCAGACGTTTAGGTATGAGTGTACCATAGCATGTACTGACAACAGTTTTGGCTTCCTGTGAGGATCTTTGCTAGTTTGTAATTAAAGGTTAGCTGTAGTAATCTGGATGTTTAAAGAACTACTTTATTAAACATCATTTTTTAACCATGATCTGCAAATGTTACCATGTTAACCATCATTTCCAGTAATAGGCACACAGATTGTGTTACTTGCCTGTTTGTTTGTGTGGTGGGAAGTGTGAGAAGGGCTTCAATATTTCCCGTGGGCTGTCACGTTTTGTTTTAATGCTTCTAGTGTAATTACTCCTGTTAGTCCTTTTAATAATAAAACACAACTATAGTGGGCATTATTTGAAGGCTAAGTGGAATCCTACCTGGGAGACTAAGAAGCCACTCTTGGGGGCTTTCATAATGGGTCGCAGTCACTACACCAGTTCTCTGACAATCCAATATAAGTAAGCACTTGGCAATAGTGGGAAGCCACAGATAACTTTTAACGGGAACAGACCTACAGCAGGGTGGCCGAGTGGTTCAGTGGTTTACACTGTTGCCTCACAAGTCCTGGGTTTGAGTGTGTTAGCATGGACAATATTCTCTGCATTGTCTCCGGCTACTCGTGCTTCCTGCCACAGCCCAAAGCCATTGTTTGTGTCTCTGTTTATGGCCCTTTGTTAGACTGAGTACCTGTCCAGGGTGAACCCCACCTCCTGCGAGGGGTTTGTCTGCTAATATCACATCATACCTGAAATACCAGTTATCAGTTTGGCACTTGGCACATGGAATAGTTTAGCCTCCACCTTTCCTGATGAAGATTTATGGGAGAAGAAACGCTTTATTTATGCCAAAGGTTGGGTTTACTGTGGCAAAGCAGACAAAACGTGATAAACAACTTAGCTCCATAAAATAAATATGTCAGTGTCACAACCCAAACAGTAAAGAAGGCATTCAGTAATAAAAGAAATAGAAAATACAAAAAAGTGGAGTGGGTAAAGAGCTAAAAAGGTAATAAAAAATATGATACAATAAAGAGCTGAAATCTGAAATGAATGCAGGTGTTGTGGCAGCAGAATTGAAGTAGATGTTAGAGAAAGTGTTCAGCTGCGTGTCCAGATGGCCAGGGTCCTGTCAAAAATGGCCATATAGTAAACCTGGGGACCTGATCATTACAGCAACTAAACTATCAAGATTTCCCCAGTGACATAGCCTCTTAACATGGACCGGCTCACTGCAGACACGTGTCGGGTCAAGATTACAGCTGGGGTTTCTTCTAGCCACATGCTCATCAGTCCGTTTTATTTAAAAACCACTTGAAGTCTTATGTTTAAAGGTCTTAACCCTAACCCCAGATGCCCAATAACCTGGCAAATGTTACATGTTAATTTCCAGTAACTTGTCCTAGAACAAAATGTTACGTAAGCAGAGATGCCTCCTGTTGTTTCCCAGCTTGCCTGCTGCAGTCTGTTTTGGCTAATCTGTTCCTGGAGGCCAGCTTTCCTTCGAAGCTCTTATGTAAGTTTCTGGCACCCTGCATCTATGCCCCTTGGTTCAGTCATGCTAAATGTAAATACTTGTTTTTCCCCCCACCTCACAAGTCCAGTTGCACAAGCTGTGCTTTGAAGTCTTTGCTTCAGCTGCACTCCTGCTCTTGTCGTCTGCAGGGCAAAGGCAGCACATACTCGCAGCACTTAGCTGAAGAGAAAGCTCTTCATTTGTTTTATTGGGTTTTTATTGCCTCACGTTAGTTATTTACTAGGTGGTAAAAGGCTGTAGCGCCCATCTATGAATGCACCACCCACCGAGATGTTGGCTTGTCAAAAAGCACCAGACTGGATGCTAACCAGGGTAGCATATTGTGACTGAGCTGCTGATTTATGCACTGAGACAGCCTCCCTCACAGTATCTGATTTTTGATGTAATAGCACAATTTAAAACCTCTCTTTGTTTCTTTGAAGTGTGTGCCTTCAATTTGAATCTCAAAGACAATGACGACAGGGCTTTGAGTTATTTTTACCCAAGTCTTGCACTTGATTTGATGGTAGTTTTGCTAAGTGCTGATCATAAATTAACTCTGACATCGGAAATATTTTGAGTGTTTTAACCCGGCTGGGTGAGTGGCGGTGCATTTTGGTGTGATTGGCTGAAACCAGAGGATTTGAACCCCTGCTCCTCACTTCTCCCTCAGACTCATCTTTCCTCGCGGCTTCCCAGACGAGTACTCCTTCATGACGACCTTCCGCATGATCAAGAACACAGTGAGCAAGGTGTGGAACATCTGGCAGATAGTTGACGAAGATGGTTACAAGCAGGCCGGATTACGGCTGAATGGCGACGAGCAAGCTCTGGAGTACTTCCTGACAGGCCCCGATGGAAATCTGCAGACAGTCACCTTCCCCGGCCTTTCTGTGCTCTTTAACACAAAGTGGCATAAGGTGATGATCGGCGTAGAGCAAGACCAGGTCACGCTGTATGTGGATTGCCAGCCTGTTGATCAGAAACCCATCAAAGGCAAAGGCTCCATCAACACAGAGGGAGACACTCTTATTGGCAGGCTGGATGCTGATCCCAACGCCTCCGTAGTGGTAAGCAAGTATGGAGAACTGCCTGCTCTATTTAATAATCTTCACCCTCCTTACGAGCATTATCAGGGAAATTGTGCTCTGTGAGAACAACACATCCAGGTTTATGTGTGTGCTGAGCTCTGCTATAATTCTAAAGTGCTGCTGTCACAGCAAATCTGCTCAGCTGGGTCCCAGTAGGAAAAAAGGATGGGGGCTTAATCCCTGCAGAAAATCACATTGGTGGAAAATCAAGCTCAACAACCCATATAGACGGCATTGATTCCGAGCTACAAAGAAGTAACAGAACCACGAAGAAGCATTTCAAAGCCCTTTCTTTTCTCAGTTTCATTTATGAAAATAATTCCACATGTTACCATGTCTTTTTTACAGTTTGAGCTCCAGTGGATGCTGATACATTGCGACCCAAAGAGAGCCCAGAGAGAAAGCTGCAATGAGCTGCCTCCCTCTGAGGTACAGTAGCGGAGACAAGGATCTGCACAGCATCTGTTGTGGTTTGTGGTTTTACTCAGGTTGATGGAGCTTCCAGTGTTTTTGAAGGGAAGCGGCAGAAATGCTGAGACAGAGCTGCAGAAGTGTAACAAACACCTCGCTAAGCAGTTTTACTCTTTAGCTCTTTATTTTTTATTGTCAACATTGAGCTGTTGTCCTACAAACATTTGTTGGAGGAAGAGCTGTTTAGGAGCTACTTTAAACCTACAGACTGTATATATAAACTGTGACACCACCCACTGGTGCCTGGACTTAGCATTTTGAAGTAAGGGTATTGGTTGCAGCCATATTGGCCTTCCTTTTTGTTGCTTTTAGAAAAAAAAAAAAGTTACGATATCATATTGTTAGCTAGTGTAAACACTTATTAGCTAATTTGCTAACTTGGTTAACAAAGCATATCCACAATTAACTGTGATATTTAAACGGGAGCTAACTTTGGAGGGTTAAAAAAGACAGCCTTAAAACAAAATTTATTTAATGTGAAAAACAAACAGCCCTCTCTATATGCA